TGGCTCCGTCCCAGCTCCCTGCCAGACAGCCCAGTCCAAAACTTGGACTGCCCACGGGTCCCCGAGGACCGGATTGGGGAACACTGATATATGATATTAAAGTGTCATCCATCTTTCAACCACTTTTCCTGGTCAAAGGGTTCATCCTGGAGTCCGTCCCAGGCAGCACGGGACACAAGGCTGGGGTCCCACCCAGGATGCCAGTCTGCCACACACGTGGTGATTCAGGGGCCAGAGATATAATACTTTGGACTGTGGGAAGAAGGGGGTGGCAAGGGGGATATACAGTGATGTGATGCAGGAAGTGAGATTGAAAGGATGAATATAGTCATTTAAAAAGTGAAAACACAGGATAATTTATATTGAAAAAGTGCCTGACTATCAAAGATATTAAATGTAGCAGCAGAGTACAGTAATAAAAGAAAAATACACACACACACAGGTTTGTAATTATATCTTTGTGGGGACTCTCCATTCATTTTTATGGGGAAAACATGACAAGCTTAACACTTACCCAGCCCTAATCTTAACTATAAGTAACCAAACAAAATATGAGAATTTTGGCATTTTTAGTTTTTTGATTGCATTCACAGATCCTTGTGGGGACCTGAAAAATTGTCTCTACAATGTAAAAATAACAGGTTTATATTAGATTGTGGGGGACATTTGGTCCCCACAATGTAATACAAATATAATCCACACACAGACACACACGTATATCTATATCTACTGTATATCTACAGTCATGGAAAAAATTAAGAAACCACTCTGTATTTTTAAATAAATCTGCATTTTTAAATCCTGGTTTAATCGTAATTCTGCTGGCAGAAGACTATGCTGAGCAGCAAGTTGCTTCCTGGTTCAACATTTCTAAGACAGCAGTATACAAGAATAAGGTTAAGCAGGAGACACTGGGAACGACCAGAAACCAGCCAGGTAAAGGGAGGAAGCGACTTTCTAATGCCAGAGATGACCGTTAACTTATCCGACAGTTTCTTATGAATCAGAGGATAACATCAAGTGACCTTCAAAAGGAATGGGAATCATTAAGTGCAGGTGTGAAGTGCACTGCTAGGACAGTTTGTATCAGGCTCCTAGAAGCAGGACTGAAGTCCCATAAAGCAAGAAAGAAGCCCTTCATATATACATATAAACATGAAACAGTAAAGTGGCAGTCGGCCTGTAAAGAGAGATTGTGGGTATTTTTTGGCTTAGGTGATGACACGCAGAGCAGCAGAGTGTGAAGTGTCTTAAAAGCTGCCTCAGATTCTCTGGTACATTTCACCAAATGGTAGTAGGACAAAGAGTCTGTGGGAAGATTTTTTTGCTGTATAAATAATCTGCTGCAGAGCAGGGAGTTTCCAAACTAGACAATAACCGCTGGCCAGAGTACTCTCTCTGACGCCCCCATAGATTGTGGTGAGCACAGGGGGTAGAAGACTTCCACACTGCAGTCACTGCAAGAAGTAGCGACACTGCTACATCCTCTTGGCTAGGTGGAGGTGTTCAGAGAGATACACCTATGACCATCACATTAACTGGGAGGAGTATGCAGCAGCTGTCACTGGCTGCATCAACAAGGGCATAGATGATATGACTGTCTCCAAGATCATCACCCCACAGGTCAACCAGAAACCTTGGATGTTGTTGGAGGTGACCACCTGGCTTTATGTTCTGGAAACAAGATAGGCCTTAGGACAGCAAAGGAAAATGAATAGCACTTGTGGTGGGGCATCCTAACGATCTGGGACTTCAAGACCACAGGCCCATAACAGCGACACCACCCTCTCAGGTGCACTGAATGAATTCTGTGCACAGTTAAATTCACTGAAAGACATGCCCACAACAAGGACTGTAGCCCTTTCAGAGCAACAAGTACCATGTCTGCCCACAGCTGATGTGTCAAAATTAAATACAGCAAAAGCTGCTGAACAGACTGTGTATTCATAAAACTTCTGCGGGAAGCAGGAATCTCTTTCTGGCTGGATTTACATTTATAGCATTTAATAGACACTCTTACCCAGAGCAACTTACTTTTTTTCTAAATTCAGGGACAGTTCCCCTGGAGCAAATTGTGACTAAGGGGTTTGCTCAGGGACCCAATGATGGTAGTGCCCGAGGTAGGACTCAAACTCACAATCTTTTGGCCAAGAGGTAAGCATCCTAACCACCAGACCACCAACACCCAGCAGACATCGATTGAGTCTGGCCCAGTTTGGCCTGTCGGCAGTTGAGGGCCTGCACATGGCATCCAACTTGTTCTCCCATCCGCTGGGAATGTCCAGGTGCTGGTAACCTCTGGGGAGAACATCATCTACTTGCTATGGTCGAATGGTAGCCCTACTCCTTATAAAGTCTCTAATGTTAATACACTGTTAGGTGTTTCTGTAATTTTGAGTACTATCCATATTTATAATTAGTGCTGGGCGATAAAACGATCTCGATTTTTTATCGATAAAAAATGAGGACGATCACGATGATACACACAAACTATAAAACTCGATCAACCAAGTTTGCTCCGTTTTAGAGAATGCGCCGAGACAGACAACTCAATGGCTTATCGAGCAGAGGTTTATTGAAAGCCAGCACAACAGCCAATCACTGACGACGTTGTAATTTTGCCCATCCTGCCTTAAAGGAGCAATGGGTGCGTTCGACTTGGGCTTAGGTCTGTCTGCAGCTGACGCGACGTGGAGCGCGATCTGCCGGCGGCTGCAGGGGTGGAGTATGAACTGACTGCAGCCAAGTCGGACAACTTCTACTCCTCGTAGTCTGTGAGACCTGACTGCAATGGCAGCACTGCCAGAAGGGTGTAAATAAATCTGTACAAATATCACCTGCATGCACTTTACTTCTTTTACAATAACCAGCTCCTGATACAAACTGTTAGCAGTGAATAAAACTATTGTGTATAGTGGCTCTGTGTAAAAATATAGCTCCCAGGAAAAAGATCAAATACACGTATTTCAAGGATTCAAAGTTTTTATTGTCATGTACAGAGTACAATGCAATTCTTACTTGAAGAATGCCTTCACAGACTGGACGATTAAACAAATAAAGCAGCGCAACATTACAGCAACTAACAATAAATAAACCACTGACTTACGTGTACTATTAGAGCATTTATGCAATTTATTTAAACTTTATTTTACCAGGTAAATGAACTGAAAACCAGTTCTCACTGCTTTACGTGCTTTTCGGGAGAAATAGCAGATAACGCATTGGAACTTCCTGGGATACAAACATCATGCGTGTGACTATCTTCAGCCAATGAGGGCAAACTGCAAAGTTGTGTCGTCACGGAGGCGGTTCCATTTTGGGCTGCACGGTCTGTCTCAAGTCGGCTTGCTCTCGCGAGGATTTTGTACCATGTGATATGGTGACGTTTTGCAGCGCCAGACAAAAAAATCTAACCGTGATTTGGCATTTTTTTTTTGAATAAGTGTTTTTTGTTTGGTTTAGATACTTTTCTACCTCAGAATTTTTTTGTTTTTTAAGAGACCAAGAATAGAGGAAGGTACTTGTTGCAGTCAGTTCTGTCCTGCTTTATTTTATGTTTTCCCTTTAACATATTTGCAATATTATACAGTTTTGCACATTCTTACATTATTATATGGTTTTGTTCATTTGAGCTATATGTTTCTTTGAATACTTGAAAATCAATAACCTTTTATAATTTTAAGGGAATTTTGTATGTAAACAGTAAAATTTGTTAGAAAATAAGTATTTTTCTACTAATATTGTTTATTTCAATGTATTCATTGTATTTGTCAGAATAGGGTTATTTTTATTATTACTACATGGAACAGCATTGTGAAACTATAATATTGATAATTATCGATATCGGTCAATAGGAGAATTTTTTTTTTTTGCCATATCGCCCAGCTGTATTTAAAATGAATGCTAGCTTGTCATCCTTAAATGGAGGTTCATCCAGGATCCCTTGAAATCATCCAGCAATAGATGGTCTTGGATTCTATGCAGTCGGATTTTTAAGGGATAATGCAGTTTAGTGTGGAGTCATTCTTGGCCAATCCTAGCTATCCATTGCTTACAAAATTGAGGAAATTTGAGTTGTTAATACTGACTATGCATTTAAATATTCCATTGACACAGCAGGATCTTAAGGCGTTTATTAAATCTCTGGTTGCTGATAGATTAGTGGCCTACTTGGAGGAAGGAAAGCCTGCAGGCATGGAGGTGGCTGATCCTGAGAGAGTGGAGCCTGTTGAGAGGACCCAGGCTGAATCTAGGGCAAGGCTACCCTGTTTCAGCCCTACTGTGACACCCCGGAGCACTGCGTCAGAGAGGTCAGATTGGTCAAGCAGATTAATAACAAGAAGGCAATATTGGAGGCAGCATGATGCAAGAAAAAGCAATCTAGGAAGTGGGAGAACACTGTTCTTTTCTTAGTCCATTCATAAATAATCCAGTAGGACCAGGGGCGGATTAAGGTGTACGGAGGCCCCTAGGCTACAGTAGTCTGTGGGCCCCCCAACCCAGCCCCGCTCCGCGCCAATGGGGGCCCCCTTGCAGGCTGGCACACGTGGGGCCCCCAGGCTTAAGCCATATCTAGCCTGTGCGTTAATCCGCCCCTGAGTAGGACAGATAGTATTTATGTTTTTATCCAAATGCTAAAGCCTGCTTCCTGTAGGAAGAGTATGGCGTAAGGGTATGTTTTTGTTTTTGTCGAATGACGTTCAAGTTTTCCCCCGTTACCACTCCCTTTCATAAACCTAGGCATGATCTAGACCGAGACTGGCATTTCGCTTTAACGCACAGTATACAGTCCAGCCGCATTGCAGACGACAGAAATACGCAGCAGGTAAACTATACAAGAATTATTAAGGGTATATTAATATAGTTGTAATAAATACATATAATCAAAAGTCTGAAAAATTACTGAATGAGTCAATTTCAGCGTACCCAGCCATGCAGAAGCCGAATATCGGGGGAGGGGCAAATGGGAGGGGCTATGTCGACCTGCTATCATATGATACCGTAACCCTAACCCTCGTTATAAATTCGTCTGTAGCGCTTTAATCATACTTAGGAATATCGGGAGGGAGGTAGTCTGTATCATCTGCTGTTGGTTTCCTCCTCAGGGCTGCGACTCTTCGTGCCACCAGTATCTGCGGCGTAAGGAGAAGCCTGATCTGAAAATACAGTAAGCTCAGTGCGAAAATAGATCGGGATCAGGGACATCTGATACGCAACCTTAAAAAACATGGGTCTGATATACTTAATTACCGGAGGCTGCGGCTTTTTGGGGCAGCATCTGCTCAGAGTCCTGCTGGATCATGAAGAGAGATTGACAGAGATCCGCCTGTTTGACAAGCAGACCAACCCCGACCTTGCAGCGCACAGCACAGGTGAATACTGTTTTTTTTTTTTTTTTTACAAAGTTTACTTTGTAATAACAATTGCTGGAATAAGACAGGAGTTTGCCGAGGTAGGATTGTATTTAGCTAATTCGTGTTTATGTCTTCAACTGTGTAATGTAATTAAATATGTATAGACCTTGATCTAAATTAGTGCCCCGTTATCTGCAATCGGTGGAATTACGGTTATTTCTTGCGCTGTTTTGTGAGTTAGCAAGATGGTGTCAATAAACGTTTAAAGGGTGGTTAGGGCGAGGAGTTAAAATGCTACGGATGAGCTGGAATTTGTAGCCGTATAAATAAACGCAAAGTCCCAAATATATGGGGTGGAGATTGGGAAGAATAATTGTTCAGTGTTTTAAATGGTCGTGAAACTACCATAATTACATGGCAGGATAATGGATACCGGTATAGACTTACAATGTCACCGCCTAACTAGACTATAATCCCCGCAGTCGTATGAGTGTTACCGGATTCGCTATGAGGACAGTTGCGTAATTTTCATCCAAAATGACTCAAATACAGTAAATGTTGTCACTCTCTGCTTAATATTCGGATGGACAGTATGGCCTAAAATGATATGGGATGTTTTTTATCCATCTTCCAGTGCAGGGAGCCTGGATACAAAGCAGTAGAAAATATCGCATGACAATGCCCAGGACTCACCATTGCATATTTACTTATAATAATAATTTACTTGCATATTTACTTACTATTTGCTTATATGTCTGTCTCTCTATCTTGAGGTCTTTCAAACTATAACTAGTACTTCTTAATATTAAAGACAGGAGAGACAGACATGGCAATGCCTAGACCATTGGATATTAATGTGTATTTTTAAACCTGTTCTTTGTACTCTGCCACTCATTGGCCAGCTGTGAGCCTGTCCGTTAATGGAAAAGGGTGCAGCAGGCTGTCCTAGCACCCTAACTCTGCTGCCTATCCAGCTGGGTGTAAAGCTGGCACTGATGACCAGGAGTGTGCCACGTGGGCAGCAGGTATGGGAGGGTCTTTGTCACACCAAATGATGTGCTGTGGGCTGTCGTCTCCTTCCCTTGTGGATTGTCCTTTCCTGAGACCCCCGAACCCCAACCTTGGGCTCTGTCACCAGAGCAGCTGCTGGGGGTTGAGCTGCATCCTTTTGTAGCTTGTCCTGTGGTAGACCCCCCCCCCCCCCCGGTGTCACTTTGGACGTACTGTTTCTGATCCTGTTCCACTGGAGCGCAGTGTTCTGTCAGCCACCATGCAAACAGAGCAAAGTGCAAAGTTCAACTCTAACATAATATCTGGAACTTTGGCCATTGCCGTCAAGGCCGTTATTCATAGGCGTTATATGTCACCGACTGCTGAAAATGAACGGAAACCCATCCCTGAGCGCTACCAGCCCCTCTGGGTCCCATAATGTAATTCCGCACAGATGACAGACACGCAGTTTACACCCCTCCCCAGTTTCCGAGTGGGCCTGCCATATTGCACCCTGTCCACCATGACGTGATGGATTGAGCTGCACTATTCCAGGGCCGCTTCCATAAGCAGTGTTTTAAGATGGCTTCCCCTGCAGTGAAAGGCCAGCTGAAGCTCAAGCTGAGTAGCAGTCTGAGATTTGGCCTGTGGGGGAGGTTCCGTGCCATTGGAAATGTGTGGAATGGTGTTTTTTTATCGATGTAGAAATGAAAGGTGAGGTGAGGCCCTCATGGTTACACTGTGGAGCCCCCTATCAGCCTGTTTATCCTCATTTACCGTAACTGGCAGCGTAGGAGTCAGAGGTAGGTCGGTGATTTCCCCGCCCCACCCCCCATCAATAACCCCTGATTTTTAGGGCATGAAAGGCTAAAGCAGTTCATCTTATACCCCTGTAGCAATATTGCCACTTTAGTTCCCATTAATGCTAAAAACTGAATTAAGAAAAAGGGAAATTTGGATAAATCTTAGAAGACTGCTCTACATGTATGTAAATTATGAGAAACAAGCTACTCTTTTCTGGAAACTGAAACCAGTGTATGGTTGCCTCTTGGTTCATAGTGTCACGCACAAACTGTCTGCTTCTCTTTTTCGCAGAGCGGGTGAAGGTGCTGGTGATACAGGGGGACGTCACGGACCCCAGGAGCATGCTGGAGGCCAGCCGGGGAGCCGACCTGCTCATCCACACAGCCAGCCTGGTGGACGTGTGGCACAGAGTGCCCCAACAGGCCATTCATGCGGTCAATGTCACAGGTGGGTCCCGGTTCAAGGAAAAACCAATGGGACTCACTTCACTTTAGCCCCCTTGCATGTTTTCTACAGAGGCCTGGTTTCCATAGTCACATGGGTTGGGCTGGTATTTGGGGGAAGAGAATTCATAACACCGCAGCAAACAAAAATCTAGTGACACTGGTTTTCCGCCCATGACCTGCTCTGTTTTTCTTGCGTTGTCTTGGGTGTTTTTTCAAGACGGGGTGTGCTGTTGTTTACTAGGAAGCTGCTGGTCTCCTGTACAGACACCCCCCTACCCTTTGGAACAGCATCTGAAACCCAGATGGGTGGGGTACCTCTGTGATATAGCCCTGGTTCCAGTCACCATCACATTTTCTTTTGTACCTTAATCTTACCATCCATCCTGAATTCTGGGCCACTCCTGTCTGCCGCTTTGATTTACTGCAGATAAATGTCTTCTCTCTTTCATTTTGGGTAAAATTAATACGTAATTACACAATATGAAGCACAGTAAATTGACTGTTTATCGTGCCTGTTAATTCACACACGGATGGGAATCTCGCCAAGATTCCGCCCGTAAATTTGCAGTCGGGCTTTCCGTTCCTCCTTTCTCGAAAGCGCGGCGCCATTGTGGTCACGTTGCCGCCACGCACGCGGAGTGACACCTGCATCCGTCACCTTTGATCGAGTCATTCGTGCTGCACGTGGGTGTCCCCGAGTGGGTGTACTGCCTTTCCTTTCCTTTAAGAAGGAGGATTGCTGGAAGATGCCATCTAACACTTGCTGTCCTTTCGTTTCGCAGGGACAATCAATGTCATCAATGCCTGCATAGAAAATAAGATCCCATATCTAGTTTACACCAGCAGCATGGAAGTAGTGGGACCCAACATCAAGGGAGACCCTTTCATCCGGTATGCCAGCTCGGAAAACCGGCATCATACTGTCTTTCTAAAATCTGTCACTTGCCATTGTCTTTCTTATTCCTCTACCCCCCCGACCCCCCCCCCCCGCTTCCTCTGAGATGCTCTTGGCTACCAGCAGGAATTCCAGATGGCTGCCACATTGATTTTCCAAGAATGTGTTTTTTAAATATGTCCAGAGATCTGGTTTGCAGATTTCTCTGACTTTTCATAATGGGGCTTCTTGGACGATGCTATAACTGCCTTTGAGGAGAAAAACAGGCAGAGACTGTTCAGTCTGCTGTGGGCCCAGAGCTGAGAGGCTTTTCTTGGTCTGTGTAGAATGGGGCAGTCGCATGCTTGATATGCGCAGTACCGCTAAGCCTCTCTGTTTTCATAAAAACAATCATTCCACCCACGTAAATGTGTCAACAGACATTTGAGCCAGTCCTTCATTAGATACCAGCCTGTCTTTGAACCTTAACACTGCGCAGCTCTGCCCAAATATTTGATGCAGTGTAAGTCAACACTGACCAGGTTCACAGCTGTATCCTGATCCCTGCTGGTGTGCTTCAGTAATATGTCACCACATAGCATTGTAATTGCAGCATATCTTTGGGTGTTCCCCAAATTCTGGAATGTGGAGCCAGTTCCAGCTAATGTAGAGATCTGGCAAAATGCAAGCCCTCCTGGCGCCTGGTTGGCTGGGTCCAGTTTCTGTCTAGGCCGTTCATCATGGATGTTTATTGCAACGCTTGTCTCTGAGTTCTTTGCGTTTCTTGTTGATTGATTGGGATCAGAAACAGCTCTAGTTTACTCTTGCACTGTGTTTCGATTCCTTGTAAAAACAACCCTGGGGGTGGTATGTGAGACACGGAGCATTTTGGCAACCCATCCCTTTTGTCACACAGTGGAGACGAGGACACTGTGTACAACGTGCACCACGATATGCCGTACCCCAGGAGCAAGGCCCAGGCGGAGAGGCTGGTGCTGGAGGCCAATGGCAAGAAGGTAATGTGACACCGTAGGACAGGGTAGAGCGTCATGCGACTCTCTCAACACCGATGTCACCTGGGGTGATGTTAGTCCACAGTTATTTCCCAGGTGAAGTGAGTAAATAATACTTTATCTGTCACATGTTTCCAAAACTTGCCCTTTAAGAAAAGCTATTCTTATTACCCTACCACGTGTCTAAGGGCGTCATCTAGAAAAGTTTTATTTTCCTGAATTAGTTCCAACAAGAGATTCTAAGCTTTTCCATTTATCGCAAGATAATTTTTCCAGGTTTCTTTGGTGAGCAATGAAGAAAAGTTTTGTTTTTTTTTTTGTTTGTTAGTCGTGTAACACGTTCTGCTATGAAAACTGCCTAAGGCTAATGCTTGCTTGCTGGCACTGATGTCCTTTATCATGTCAGTTTAAGCCTGACACTGCTGACATGGGTTTCATTATCGCCTGGCTTGTCACCCATGAAGTTCTGCTGGGTTTTGAGTTAAAGGTTGCCTGTCTAAAGGCCTTATCGTGCGTTTATTCTGCAGTGAGATAGCTGTATCATACTGGTACAGAGGTCATGGCTTAAATGACTAAGCACTTTAGCAATATGATGCGGACCCTTCAGAACTCTGTCCCCTTCTCCTTCCCCCATCATCAAGGACACATTAGAAAATGCCTCAATTTACAGCCATGGCAAAAAATGAAGACATTTTTTTTTTTGTTGTTTCACTCATTTCCCAGTGTATGGGTGTGTGTCTGTGATTAATATGTATGTTTTTCCAAACCGCAGTCTGGTTTTTCTGTTTCTCATTAATGAAGGGTTTCTTCCTTGCTTTATGGGACACCAGTCCTGCTTCTAGGAGCCTGATATGAACTCTCCTCTCCTAGCAGTGCACTTCACACCGCTTTGTTTCCCTTTTTTTTTTTTTTTTTTTTTTTTGTTTGTTGAAAGTCACTTGAGTTTATTGTCCGATTCAGTAGAAACTGTCGGATAAGTTAATGGTCATCTCTGACATTCGAAAATTCCCTGGCTGGTTTCTGGTCATTCCCAGTGTCACCTGCTTCCCTTTGTTCTTGTGTACTGCTGTCTTAGAAATTTTGAAACTGGAAGCAGCCTCCTGTTCAGTGTAGCCTTCTGCCAGCAGAACCATGATTAAACCAGGATTTAAAAATGTAGATTTGTTTAAAAATATAACGTGGTCTTTTAATTTTTTCCCATGGCTGTACATTGGGGGGGAGGTACAGAGAAAGACCATAGTTCCTGGCAGTCATGTGCTGGTTTTGCGTGTCTCGACATGGATGTCCCAGGATGGGGCATAGTGACCATTTCTGGGTCTCTCTCCCGATAACGCAGCTGGTTGGGGGGGCTTGCCTGCACACCTGTGCCCTGCGTCCCACTGGCATCTACGGTGAGCATCACCAGCTTATGCGGGAATTCTACGAGAAGGGGGTGCAGGCGGGTGGCTGCATCATCCGGGGCGTCCCACCCAACACGGAACATGGCCGCGTATATGCAGGTAGGTCCTATGGCAATACGTTAAGGCCCTTTGATCCGCCTCCACCATGAAAGGGAGTGTTTGAAGGGTGTGACGTTCACCCCTCCACACCTCAGGGTCAAACACAATGGAGGCTGCCATTGGCAGGTGTTTCTTACACCGACTGACTCTACTGTTCCTCGGATTCTCAGGGAACGTAGCCTGGATGCACCTCCTGGCTGCGCGTGCCCTGCAGGAGCAGCCCCACACGCTGGGAGGAGAGGTGTACTACTGCTACGACGACTCGCCCTATAAGAGCTACGAAGACTTCAACATGCAGTTCCTGTCATACTACAACTTCCGCGAGCTGACCGTGCCAGTCTGGATTCTGAAGCTCATGGCTTGCGTCAATGACTTCCTACGTATGGTTCTGAAGCCCGTGTACAACTACACGCCCCTACTGAACCGTTACACACTGGCCGTGGCCTGCACGTCCTTCACGGTGCGCTCTGACAAGGCCCAGCGCCACTTCCAGTACAAGCCGCTGTATGACTGGGACCAGGCGCGGGCGCGCACGCAGAGCTGGGTGAACACATTCCCAGTCCCAACCAAGAATGCCTAACCATGAAAATACTTGCAGTTTGGCTTTGGGCAAAGAGATGGAGATTCCCTGATTACTGTCAAGTTGAGGCTTGACATGAAGTGACTGCCCTCTATTGTTTTCTCATTCTTCCTTGTTCAGGAACAGTGAGATTGTATGTTGTTCCATAGGCATACTAAATGGAAATGTAGCAATAAGCATCTTTCATATGAAGTGTGACGTCCACTACCTTGGAGACCCAATGTCCCTTTAACAATGGAGTCGGGTTTCCATAAGTAAATCCGTAACTGAAAACCAACATTAGTTGGTTTTGCTGATGTTTAATTGACCGTTAATAGTCCTGAATATTATTAGCTTTGTACAGCTGTAATCATATTAACCCTCTCAAGGCAGGCGTTGCTGATTTGCACCAGTTAAAAACTAACTACCTTATTACCCCACATACATATTTTATGAGTTTTTTTTACTCAGAAGTACCACTGCAGGACTTGGTTGTCCTGTCGTTACTAAAACTTAATTTGAGCCTGAAAGGGTTCATTTGTAGAAAATTTTTACATTTAAAGTATTTTCATTTAATCCAAAATAACATATTCGTGTATTTATCAAATAGACTTATACAATTGTTATAGTGTAACAATCTATGTCTTATAATTAATATTTATAATTTAGTATATGAGATACAGTATTTAATATATTATTACTACAAAAGACGGAGTAACGCAAAACGGTGTTACAGTTGCCATAGCAATAAGATATTTTGAAAGCACCGTCTGTGTGCGTTTTGGGCTTTGCTTTCTAATAAATTCCATTGTCTGACAGCAACTTGTGGTTTTCAGTGAGGCTCATTCCCTCCTTACCAGGATTCCTTGATTTTAAAAATAAATCCCTGAAATGGGACATAAGAGCAGCACTTTTCCAGAATGTGCTGTCATTTCCTGGGCGAGGATTTGCTAGTTTGCTTATACCTAAAGTAATTATACTATACATGCAAGTCCATGCTGTGTGTTGTGGGTGTTGGAAAAGTGCAGGTCCTACAATTGGTTTGTGAAGTTTCTGAAGAGGAAATTCAATTGTGAATTGTGAAGAAGAAGTTAAAGAAATGGTCTTTCCGTATGTGTTTGTAACAAGAGGAATAATATTTTCCTGAAGCGAGAGTGAGTGAAACCGAGAGACGGGAGTTCCCGTCTTCCACAGGCTCAGAGGGATCCCCATGATGTCATTAGTTCAGTGGTTTTCCACAGAGATGTGATCAATATTTACACTGCAGTGAGGTGGTAACGTGGAGAGTATAATTTGTCTGACTCATAAGCTTAGAGAGTGAATTACGGCAGTGGATTCCAGATTGCTGCTGCTGGTTTATAATGTTTCCTTAGAAACCATACAGACTGGTCAGTACTAAAAAAGGCTATCATGAAGTGTCTTATGTGTAGATTAAACACATTTAATTTGTAAGTGTCTTGTTTGCAGTGTTTATGGGTTCTTTTACTGCAGGGGTGGGCAATCTTATCCAGAAAGGGCCGTTGTGTATGCAGGTTTTCGCTGCAACTCCCTAATTAGATTACTAATTAGAGGACTGATTGGCCGAATGGTCCTCACACCCGTGCCTGAACAGCTGACCTAAAGGTTATCCCAAAAACCTGCATATGCACTGGCCCTTTGTGGATAAGATTGGTTACCCCTGTTTTACTGTATGACTTTCGCCACTTGGTGGTTAGGATTAGAAATGCAGTTTGATATTTTCATTGTAATGCTAAAGATACTATAGATATGGAAGTTACATGGTTCACTTTAATGGGAAGAGGAATTTTAATGATTTATTAGAGATGTCAGAGAAACTCCATGATTTTAAAACCAAATGGCTGTCAGTGAACAGGTTTTAAAATAAGAAATAATTAAAGTCTTCTAAAAATGGTGTCAATTATAATAGCATTAGCCATCATGTCTTGACAGCTTTTCAGTGTGTAGCTTGTAAGTCACCCTGGGTGAACCTCCACTTTAGTGCCACCCCAACAAATACTGTGTGTCTGTTTCCCACCCCATGACATGTAGAACGATACAAATAAATAATGATAATACTGATATTTGGAGTTACCAAGTTGGTAAGTGTGTGGAGTTTGCATGTTCTCCCTGTGTCATTGTGGGGTTTCCTCTGAGTATTCCAGTTTCCCTCCACAGTCCATGCTGAGGCTAATTGTTGTTACCAAATTGCCTGCAGGTGCACCTGTGTGAGTGGATGGTGTGTGAGTGTGCCCTGTGATGAGTGGGTGCCCCATCCTGGGTTGTTCCCTGCCTTGTGCCCTGTGATGAGTGGGTGCCCCATCCTGGGTTGTTCCCTGCCTTGTGCCCTGTGATGGGTGGGTGTCCCATCCTGGGTTGTTCCCTGCTTTGTGTCCATAGGCTCTGGACACCCTGCAAACCTGAATAGGACCAGTGGTTACAGAAGATGACTGGCTAACAAGCATACAGGGGTCATACTGTTTCATTACATGCTTAATATCATACTCATAAGGAAATGAAATAGCTTCTATTATCATTTGTGTGCTTCTCCTCTTCTTCTTTCTTCTTTTTCTTAACTGGGCACCTAAAGGCTTAGACCAGGGATGTCAAACTCCAGTCCTGGGGGGCTGGAGCCCTGTGTAGCTTAGTTCTTTTCCTGTTCCACCATAAATGATTCAGTTCAAGAGCTGTGTGGTAATTAACACAAGGAGTTGAATCAGGTGTGTTAAATGAGGGGAAACCCAAAAATATGCAGGACGCCAGCCCTCCAAGCCCCCTGGCTTTGACCTTTTCTTATTAATTTGTGTTAATTTGACACTCAAGCATCAATACATCTCCCATCTCCCAGCACTGTCATCCAAGAGTCGAAACTAAACCAGCTCACCTTGTTGGTGTGCAGACTGCCATTATATTATTCTTAATGATTTCACACAAACTGGGAAAAAATGAACAATATGTCTGCAAAACTATATATTCACAGCTTTATGAATAAATTGTTGTTTATCATGATTTTATTAATTGCATTAGTACTGTACCAAATTAGAAGTGTGCTATTTGATAGATTCCCCCGCTCCCCCTTCTTTGGACTTCCATTGGGGAGAGCTGAGCCCATCCCACTACATACTTCTGAATGGTAGGCTGCATAACTGACAAACAAGAACCATGGTCCGCACTCCGACGAGGTTAATTGGTCCTCACAGGGACATGATTTTATTGACAAATGTTTACAAAGTGTTAAGATATACATTGTTCCTCAAATACAAAATTATATTTCTTTCAGTGTTAGTCTTTTTTAAATGATGAAATCTTTAGATCTTTTAAAATAATTTTAGAATAATGTCTTACATTGCATACTTTCAAGATGTAACTATTGCAATGTTTTGTGGGGCAAATCCCCCCCCCCCCCTTAATATCATACCTGCCAAATTGGAATTCTACAAAAATGCATAGTGGAGCTGGGTAATAATCAAAATAAAAAAGTGGGCTAAGCCTGTGTGCCTGTAATCAGAAGGTCACCGGTTCAAACCCAGCCTCAGCATATCTGCAGGTCCTTGAGCAAGGCCCCCAGCTCCCTGGACACCCCAACAGGTTGGTCAGCTTACTCTACAAAGAGTGAGTTGAGGGAGGTGTAAAAAAAAGACCATTTCCCCACAAGTATCAGTAATTATTGTTATTATTACACAAGTACAAATCCCATTGCACATGATTTTAGCCTAACTGGTTCAACAATAGCATAGACTGGAATACAAAAGATTTTCTAAATCTAATACGTTTGAAAGAAGGAACTCTGAAATGTCTGCCTGAGGGCAGAAGTTGATATTCTTTATGCAGAATATGTCAGAGGAAATGTTTCTGGGCAATCTAAGCATCCTCTTGTTATGAGCTTCCTGAAAAGAATACACCACAGGTAATCCAATGATCTTTGAACAGAGTTTAATTTGATCATATCATTTTGTTTTATTTTTAATTAACTGATAGGCTACTCAGCCAGACAGTACTACAATAAAGCATGATGCTCTGAATCACAGAAGTAAAAAACAATAATTAATATGACTACTAGCTCCAAAGGATTTCAGTCTCTGAAGAAAGTAAATACACTGTTGTAGATAAATTCTATATGAGGGTCCATGAGAGATGTTCATCTGTCATGATACCCAAATATTTATAGGCTGATACCAAGTTCATTTCTGCATTATGAATCACTGGATTATGGACACATTATGAATAATTTACCGTTTCCAAAAATCATTTCCTCCGTCTTCGCAGTGTTAATAGTGAGACCATTTTTATCACACCATTTAGCCATTTCTCTGATACAATGTAGAATCATCATACTCGGTACAGTGGAATCATCTGAGTATTTTAAAAAGACAAGTTACATCTCTAGGTGTGTGGAGTTTAAGTCAAGGGAGATGATGCTATGATTATACAATTCCTTGGTAAGACCCCACCTAGAATATTTTGTGCAGGTTTGGTCACCATACCTTAAAAAGGACATTGCTGCCTTGGAAAGGGTTCAACGAAGAGCTACAAGAATGACTCCAGGTCTTAGAGGAATGTCTTATGAGGAGAGGTTAGCGGAACTGAATCTGTTCAGCCTCAAGCAAAGGAGACTAAGGGGAGACATGATTCAGGTCTATAAGATTCTAACAGGTCTGGATGCTGTTCAGCCAAATGACTATTTCAATATTAGTTTAAATACTAGAACTCGTGGCCATAAGTGGAAATTAGTGGGAAAACATGTTAAACTGGATTTAAGAAAGCACTTCTTTACACAGCATGTGGTTAGAGTATGGAATAGTCTTCCTGCTAGTGTAGCACAAGCTAAAACCCTGGGGTCCTTTAAATCAGAGCTACAGAAGATTTTAACAACTCTGAGCTATTAGTTAAGTTCTCCCCAAACGTGCTTGAAGGGCCGAATGGCCTCCTCTCGTTTGTAAATTTCTTATGTTCTTAATCTAAGGCATATAAGGTAAACAACACAGGTGAGCTAATGCAACCCTAGCATCCAACATTAGTTATATTTGCGGATGAAAATGTGTTGTTTACATTAATTAGCTGAATTCTGTGCGGAAAGTGAAATACCAATAAACAATATAAGGATTAATCTCTAACTGAATCATTTTTCCTAACAGTTAATACAACTGAATTGTGTTAAACACTGATGAAAAATCAAGAAAAAGGGCTCTGGCATATGTTTTTGGTTTATCGAGTTGTTTGGAGATGAGGTGCACCAGCTTAGCCACTGCATCCTCCGTGCTACGACCTTGTTTATATGCAAATTGGAAAGGGTCCTGCTGCATCCATAAAGATCTATTGAGATGTTGAACTATGATCTTTTCTGGTGACTTCATGATCACGGAAGTAAGAACAATTTGCTGGAAATCATTATATTCTTTCTGACATTGTTTTTTTAGGGAGCGGTCTAATGTAGGCAGTTCAGATCGGTTCAGGTCAATAGTCAAAGCGTTTTATTACATTGTGGGAACAAATGACTGAATTTAATACAATGCGGCCACAACTGAACAAAAATAAAGGAATGAATTAATAAAACGTGATTTAATACATAGTGGGGACAAATTCGTTACACGTGGTCACGATATATATACTTTTATCTTTATGTTATGGGTAGGGCTCTGCACACATCCATCCATCCATTTTCTTTACCTACTTGTCCTATTCAGGGTAACAGGGGTCTGGAGCCCATCCCAGAGAATGGGGCACCAACCCATCACAGGGCACAAGGTAGGGAATAACCCAGGATGGGGCACCAACCCATCACAGGGCACAAAGCAGGGAATAACCCAAGATGGGGCACCAACCCATCACAGGGCACACTCACAATTCACAACTACAGCTAATCTGATAACTATAATTCACCTTAGCATGTTTTTGTTCTGTGGGGAAAAACAGGAGAACCCAAAGGAAACGATGACACAGGGAGAACATGCAAACTCCACACACATGGAGCTGGGGCAGAGACATATTTATTGGTTATTATACTGTATCCATACAATGTTCAATTGGGCAATATGTAAAGGAGTTAATAACTCTAAACTCAATTGTGAGCAAAGTGAGCAAAAGGAAACAACAGGGATTGAGAATAGAGCTAAACATAGTGGGAACAGTGGAAAGGAATGGAATGTAGTGACACCTGCTGGCCAAATGGGGAAACAAAGGACAGGGCAGGGCAGGGACTGATCCTGACAATTGGACAGAGGGCAAAACCCAGTGTTCTGTGGCCCGGTGGTCATAATAATAACAACTGAGTAGGGAAATTTTAAACATAAAGTATCATTATCCCTTTGTCCCACATATAAACAACCTTTATTTGGAATAAAGTGTACTGAAGACAGACACTTGACAACTTCAGAGTGGATGGGGTGTGATTATGGTCTGTCGTAGCTACTTGCCTAACAGGAATAACTGCAAACAAAAGATAAATGAATGAAAGTCTCAATTATAAGGTTAGTTTAAGGTGCTCATGAAATAAACATTTTTAAAAAATGAACAAATTACCTCAGAAAAGTTGTTGCTAGTTCTGTGTTCATCTCCAACAAAACAATGCAAAAATATTTATTTAAACGGAAACAGTGTGTTGAACACCCTCTCATGTTACACAAGCGTTGCAACTATGACCTAGTATTTCAAAATACTGTGGTATGCTATATTACTGTAATATCACCCAAGTCTAAACTAATAACTCTAAATCTGTTCATAAAAGTTTACCTATTTCGCTGCACTGCTTGTTTTTCTGTTTGTTGCACTATGTCTGCCCTTTCCTGAACCGGTGGAATATCATTGCTGGCTGCATTCTTCAGATGTCAAAGACAAAGCGTTGGCTGTGTCCGAATTCAGGTGCTGCATCCTTCTAAGGCTGCATTCGAAAATGGAATGTGTCACAGCGGTACGACAAAGCTGTCCCATCTCGAAGACTCCTTCAAATGGGGCCTAGAAATGCATCCTTATTTTGCCGAGTCAAGAAGAATCCACCCGATGGATCCTCTGCAGCCCAACATATCCAAAGATTCACTATTGCCTAGCCGAGACACACCCACTTTACCTCTGCGCAATGAATCAATAA